GTGACATATAGGATCTATCAAAAAAATTTAGAAAATTTATATCCATGTAGAAAACACATATTTAGACATAGGAGAAGGAAGAAACAACACGGATTCAACAAAAAAAAAATTAGAACACCAAACCTCAAGAGCACTAGGCTCTAGATATCAAAACTGATGGAAGCACTTGGTGAAGATTGATGTTCATCCAAGCTTCCATGCAAGGACCAAAAATGCTCCATGAGGTTATCACGTTTTGACCTTGGAATTCTCCTTTGAAGAAGCTTCAATGGATGATAAGCACCTTTGAGGAGGTTCGGTTACCTCTTAGAGAGGTGAAGAAGCTTGAAGAACCAAGCTTCTAGGAGAAGGAACTTTGAGAGAGAACCTAGGAGAAGGTTTCTCACGAATTTGACTCTTGAAAATGAGAGAGAAATCTGATTTCTAATTCTCATAAATGTCCAAAAGTGATTACAAGAGAGAGTTTTACAAATATATAGGGGAGGTAGCTTCTAGGAGAAGCTAACCTTAACCATGGTTCACTAGGAACCATGGTAAGGTGTAGCTAACCATCCATGGTTTCTAAAACTTGTAGGAGAAGTTATCCTTGACCATGGTTCACTTAAGAACCATGGTAAGGTCAACCTAACTAGAAGGAAAACTAGTAATTTTCGACCATGAACAAGAGAGAATGCTAGGCGACCTTGGCTCCAAATTGCTCCAAGATGTATTTCAAAAATATTTTATTTCGTTTAGTTAGGTTCATCATATGATGATGAGGCCTAGATAAATCAAATCTATGAAAAATTAGGAGCAAAATGAGTCCAATATGCAAAATTTTTCCTAGGCCCAGTTCTGGCCCAATTACTAGTCACACCCTCAAGTATTGCTAAATGTCACCCCCTTTTCTCTACTGAAAAAATACAAAATGAATGTATCAACTAGGGAGGTTAAATGGAGTTAAACTCTCGTGAGGTCCTATTTTCTTTGTGTTTGTTATTACTCTTGTTTTTGAAGTATGGCAGATGGAAATCATTTGGATGGAACACAAAGACTCTTGTTCGACGCTATTAATGCTCAAATGCAAAGATTATTGAGAGAAAACAATGAAGAGTTGTATGGAAGAATTGAGCGATTAGAGAATCGTGATCATCATGAAGAAGAAAGGAGAGGAAGAAATGGTGGTGCTCCTAGGCAAAACAGAATTGAAGGTGTTAAACTTAATGTTCCTCCATTTAAGGGGAAGAGTGATCCGGAAGCCTATGTGGAATGGGAACTCAAAATAGAACATATTTTCACTTGTAACAATTATGATGAAGAGCAAAAGGTGAAACTTGCAGCAGCGGAGTTCTCGGACTATGCACTCGTGTGGTGGAATAAGTTGAAAAGAGAAAGGTTGAGAAATGAAGAGCCTTTGGTGGAAACCTGGGCTGAAATGAAAAGGCTCATGAGGAAACGTTATGTGCTGGCTAGCTATGCTAGAGATGTGAAATTTAAACTTCAAAAATTGTCACAAGGCACCAAAGGAGTTGAAGAGTATTACAAGGAATTGGACTTGCTCATAATGCAAGCCAATATTGAAGAAGATTCGGAACTAACCATGGCTCGTTTTATTAATGTCCTAAATAACGATATTCGTGATGTTGTTGAATTGCAGGAATTTGTTTTCAAAAATATTTTATTTCGTTTAGTTAGGTTCATCATATGATGATGAGGCCTAGATAAATCAAATCTATGAAAAATTAGGAGCAAAATGAGTCCAATATGCAAAATTTTTCCTAGGCCCAGTTCTGGCCCAATTACTAGTCACACCCTCAAGTATTGCTAAATGTCACCCCCTTTTCTCTACTGAAAAAATACAAAATGAATGTATCAACTAGGGAGGTTAAATGGAGTTAAACTCTGACTATGCACTTGTGTGGTGGAATAAGTTGAAAAGAGAAAGGTTGAGAAATGAAGAGCCTTTGGTGGAAACATGGGCTGAAATGAAAAGGCTCATGAGGAAACGTTATGTGCTGGCTAGCTATGCTAGAGATGTGAAATTTAAACTTCAAAAATTGTCACAAGGCACCAAAGGAGTTGAAGAGTATTACAAGGAATTGGACTTGCTCATAATGCAAGCCAATATTGAAGAAGATCCAGAACTAACCATGGCTCGTTTTATTAATGGCTTGAATAACGATATTCGTGATGTTGTTGAATTGCAGGAATTTGTTGAGATAGAAGACTTGCTGCACAAATCCATTCAAGTGGAACAACAACTCAAAAGAAAAAGTGTGACCAAGAAGAGTTCTTCTAATTATAATTCCTATAGTTGGAAGGACAAAAATAAGAAGGAGGTGGCTGCCACTCCAAGCAATCTAGCATCTACTTCTCATGGAAAATCATCCTCTAAGTCCTTAGAACAGCCTCAAAAGAAGAGTAAAGACATAAAATGCTTTAAGTGTCAAGGCATGGGTCATTATGCCTATGAGTGTCCTACCAAAAGGACCATGGTTCTCAAGGAGAATGGAGATTACACTAGCCAATCTGATGTTAGTGAGGAAGAAGAAGGTGACATTGAGGAGGAAGAGGAGGCCCTTGAGGGAGATTTATTGATGATTAGGAGAATGATGGGTAGTCAAATGAGTCCTTTAGAAAGAAGCCAAAGGGAGAATATTTTCCACACAAGATGTTCCATCAATGGAAAGGTTTGCATGGTGATTATTGATGGAGGGAGTTGC